GGCTGTTGGTTTGTCATAAATAGCTTTTATTACTTTGAGATACATTCCATCAATACCAAGTTTATTGAGGGTTTTTAGCATAAAGGGCTGTTGAATTTTGTCGAATGCCTTCTCTGCATTTGTCAATTGAGAAAATCATGTGGTTTTTGTTTTTGGTTCTATGTGGTGAATTATGTTTATGACTTGCGTATGTTGAACCAGCCTTGCATCCCCGGGATAAATCCTACTTCATCATGATGGATAAGTTTTTTGATTTGCTGTTGCAATCGGCTTGCCAATATTTTATTGAAGATTTTTGCATCTATGTTCATCATGGATATTGGCCTCAAGTTTTCTTTTCTTATTGGGTCTCTGCCAGGTTTTGGTATCAGGATGATATTGGTCTCATAAAATGATTTGGGAAGGATTCCCTCTTTTTGGATTATTTTGAATAGTTTCAGAAGGAATGGTACCAGCTCCTCTTTGTGTGTCTGGTAGAATTTGGCTGTGAACCCATCTGGAACTGGGCTTTTTTTGTGTGGTAGGCTCTTAATTGCTGCCTCGACTTCTGACCTTGTTATTAGTCTATTCATAGTTTCAGCTTCCTCCTGGTTTAGTCTTGGGAGGACAGAGGTGTCCAGGAATTTATCCATTTCTTCCAGGTTTACTAGTTTATGTGCATAGAGTTGTTAGTAATATTCTCTGATGATGGTTTGAATTTCTGTGGGATCTGTGGTGATTTCCCCTTTATCATTTTTTATTGCATCTATTTGGTTGTTCTCTCTTTTCTTTTTAATCAATCTGGCTAGTGGTCTGTCTATTTTGTTGATCTTTTCAATAAACCAGCTCTTGGATTTATTGAATTTTTGAAGGAATTTTCGTGTCTCTATCTCCTTCAGTTGAACTCTGATCTTAGTTATTTCTTGTCTTCTGCTGGGTTTTGAGTTTTTTTGATCTTGCACCTCTAGCTCTTTCAATTTTGACGATAGGGTGTCAATTTTGGATCTCTCCATTCTCCTCATATGGGCACTTATTGCTATATACTTTCCTCTAGAGACTGCTTTAAATGTGTCCCAGAGGTTCTGGCACGTTGTGTCTTCATTCTCATTGGTTTCGAAGAACTTCTTTATTTCTGCCTTCATTTCATTGTTTATCCAGTTAACATTCAAGAGCCAGTTGTTCAGTTTCCATGAAGCTGTGTGGTTCTGGGTTGGTTTCTGAATTCTGAGTTCTAACTTGATTGCACTATGGTGTGAGAGACTGTTTGTTATGATTTCAGTTGTTTTGCATTTGCTGAGGAGTGCTTTACTTCCAATTATGTGGTCAATTTTAGAGTAGGTGTGATGTGGTGCTGAGAAGAATGTATATTCTGTGGATCTGGGGTGGAGAGTTCTGTAAATGTCTATCAGGTTTGCTTGCTCCAGGTCTGAGTTCAAGCCCTGGATATCCTTGTTGATTTTCTGTCTGGTTGATCTGTCTAATATTGACAGTGGAGTGTTAAAGTCTCCCACTATTATTGTGTGGGAGTCTACGTCTCTTCGTAAGTCATTAAGAACTTGCCTTATGTATCTGGGTGCTCCTGTATTGGGTCCATATATGTTTAGGATCGTTAGCTCTTCTTGTTGTATCGATCCTTTTACCATTATGTAATGGCCTTCTTTGTCTCTTTTGATCTTTGTTGCTTTAAAGTCTATTTTATCAGAGATGAGAATTGCAACTCCTGCTTTTTTTTGTTCTCCATTTGCATGGTAAATCATCCTCCATCCCTTTATTTTGAGCCTTTGTGTATCCTTGCATGTGAGATGGGTTTCCTGGATACAGCACACTGATGAGTTTTGGATTTTTATCCAATTTGCCAGTCTGTGTCTTTTGATTGGTGCATTTAGTCCATTTATATTTAGGGTTAATACTGTTATGTGTGAATTTGATACTGCCATTTTGATGCTAGCTGGCTGTTTTGCCCGTTAGTTGTTGTAGATTCTTCCTTATGTTGATGCTCTTTAGCATTTAGTGTGATTTTGGAATGGCTGGTACTGATTGTTTTTTTCTATGTGTTGTGCCTCTTTCAGAAGCTCTTGTAAAGCAGGCCTGGGGGTGACAAACTCTCTCAGTACTTGCTTGTTTGCAAAAAATCTTATTTTTCCTTCACTTCTGAAGATCAGTTTGGCTGGATATGAAATTCTGGGTTGAAAGTTCTTTTCTTTAAGGATGTTGAATATTGGCCCCCACTCTCTTCTGGCTTGTAGTGTTTCTGCCAAGAGATCTGCTGTGAGTCTGATGGACTTCCCTTTGTGGGTGACCCGACCTTTCTCTCTGGCTGCCATTAGTATTTTCTCCTTTATTTCAACCTTGTTGAATCTGACAGTTATGTTCCTTGGGGTTGCTCTTCTTGCGGAATATCTTTGTGGTGTTCTCTGTATTTCCTGCATTTGAGTGTTGGCCTGTCTTGCTAGGTGGGGGAAATTTTCCTGGATAATGTCCTGAAGAGTATTTTCCAGGTTGGATTCATTCTCTTCGTCACATTCTGGTACACCTATCAAACGTAGGCTAGGTCTCTTCACATAGTCCCACATTTCTTCGAGACTTTGTTCATTCCTTTTTTGCGCTTTTTTCTCTGATCTTGGTTTCTCATTTTATTTCATTGAGTTGATCTTCAACTTCTGATATTCTTTCTTCTGCTTGGTCAATTCGGCTGTTGAAACTTGTGTTTGCTTCATGAAGTTCTCGTATTGTGTTTTCAGCTCCTTTAATTCATTCATATTCCTCTCTAAGTTATCCATTCTTGTTATCATTTCCTCGAATCTTTTTTCAAATATTTTTTCAAGGTTCTTAGTTTCTTTGCATTCATTTAAAACATGTTCTTTTAGCTCACAAAAGTTTCTCATTATCCACCTTCTGAAGTCTAATTCCATCATTTCATCACAGTCATTCTCCGTCCAGCTTTGTTCCCTTGCTGGTGAGGAGTTTTGGTCCTTTCTAGGAGGTGAGGTGTTCTGGTTTTGGGTGTTTTCCTCCTTTTTGCGCTGGTTTCTTCCCATCTTTGTGGATTTATCCACCTGTCGTCTGTGCAGTTGCTGACTTTTCGATTGGGTTTCTGAGTGTACACCCAGATTGTTGATGATGAAGTATTTCTGTTACTTGGTTTTCCTTCTACCAGTCTAGCCCCTCCACTGTATGACTGCTGTGGTCCACTCCAGGCCCTGCTTGTCTGGGGTGCACCTATAGCAGCTGCAGAACAGTGAGGGATGCTACCAGTTTCTTTTTCTGCTATCTTTGTCCCAGAATGATGCCTGCCAAATGTCAGTCTGTTGGATATAGTCAGGTAGCTGCTTGAGGAGACAGTCTGTACTTTATAGGAGCTCAAGTGCTGAGCTGTGAGCTCTGTTGTTCATTCAGGGCTGTTAGGCTGCTACGTTTAATTCTGCTGCAGCAGAACTCATAAAAAAAACTCTTTTTTTCTCACATGCTCTGTCTCGGGGGGGGTTGGGGCTTTCTTTGTGAGTGTCCATTGTGCTGCCCTGCCCTGCTAGGAGGCAGTCTAGTCACTATTTGCCTGCTGAGGCTCCGCCCTGCTGGTGTGAGGTTCGCCCTGTTGCTGTAGGCTCTGCCCTGCTGCTGCAGTCTCCGCCCTGCTGCCATGGGCTACGCCCTGCGGCGGAGTCTCTCTGTTATAACGGAGTCTTTCTGTTGTAGCAGGTTGCCTCAGCAATGGTAGGCTGTGTCACCAATGGGCGTGTACCTCAGTAGGGGCGGATTGCCTTGGTAATGGTGGATGCCCCTCCCCCACAGAGCTGCACCATCCTGGGTTCAGCTGTGCCCTCAGGGAACCTCTCCACCCAGAGTGTTTGGAACCGCCATTTTGTTTGTCCCACTGCGCTACCCCAAACGCTGTTTCCCTGGAATCTCCTGGCCTGGCTCACTGTGCAAGTCCTGTTCAGTCTCAAGGTCAGCCCTCTCAAGTCTCAGATTGCCTGTTCAACAGGGCACCCGGACCAGTGCGCTTTGTGCCGAGCACTGTGTAGCGCTGCTGCACTACAGAGCCGTCCGCTGGCTGCACCTGCCAAAACCTCTGCCTGGAGTCCTGTGTCTCTTTTATACCTGGGAATTTCCCCATTCTGTGGGCAAGAAAGATCCATCTGGAAATGCGGCCCTGACTCACCCTCTCCATGCATTCACCGAGAGCTTCAATCCTGGGTTGTTCTCACCATGCCATCTTGAATCCCCCTCATTTAATATCCCCTAATATAAATTAAGCTTTACCATAGGTATGTATGTATAAAAAAAAACCCAGCATATATAGGGTTTGGCACTGTCTGCAATTTAAGGATTCTACTGGGGGTCTTGGAATATATCTCCTGTGGATAAGGTGGCATTATTGTACTGTATATACAAAAAATGAAAGTGGGATTCTGTTCAACTACCAAAAATGTGAAAAAGAAATCACCATTTTTGCAGAAAATAAAACAGTAATTCATGGAGACTATAAAATGTGCAAAATACCTTTGTCCAAAATAATTTTAAAACTAAATAAATGACTTTGGGAGGCCAAGGTAGACGAATCACGTGAGGCCAAGAAATTGAGAGCTGTCTGCCCAACATGGCGAAACCTCTTCTCTACTAAAAATACAAAAATTATCCAGCTGGCTGTGGTGGTACATACCTGTAATCCTAGCTACTCAAGTGCTGAGGCATGAGAATCACTTGAACTCAGGAGGTGGAGGTTGCAGTGAGCTAATTGTGCCACTGCACTCCAGCCTGGGTGAAAGAGTGAGACTTTGGCTCAAACAATAACAGCAACAACAACACTTAAATAAATGAAAGGTAGATGTCCATGTTAGAAAATAATTACTTACCTATTTTAATTAAATGATACATTTTACTTTGTGATTTTTTTTTCTAGAAGTATTACTTAGGACTGTTTATATTTTTAACTAAAAATATTTGTGTCCATTAAAATCAAATTTCTAAGTGAAAGTACAGAATGCTAAAGCTTCTTTATTTCCTTCAGCATCTTTGCTTACCTGTTTAATCTTTCAAATAATGTCCCAAATCGTGTAGTTTTATGTGAGGGACTGAGAACATCTTGACTTTTATTTAATTTGGAAAGCAAGGAATCAGAACAGTTAACATTACTGAGCTGAAAAAAAAATTGAAGAAATTGCTAAAGTAGTAAATGTACATACATACCATAAAATGTCATACAAAGGAACTACATTTATATTTTAAAATCATAAAAATAATCTAAAGGAAAGTAATTTTACTGATTGAAAACAAAATAAACACTTTTCTAACCAAAAAAAAAAGAAATGCCAGTATTTGAATAATTTTTAAAATAACAGAGTTGATACTATGGTAAGCTAATCATTTTCTCCAAGTTGAAAAAAAAAAAATTTTTTTTAAATACCCCAGGACACCAGGATCTTGAATAACTGTAAGTTAAATTTCTCTGACAGAAAACAATAATTTGTCCCAAGAAAACAGCTGTACTTATCTCAGTTCTTCCATTTACTGAGTAACTTTAGACTACTATAATTTTTCTGAGTATCAGTATTATTCAGTTCAAAAGGGGGATAGAGTGTAAAGACTATGATTAAAAGCAGATAAGATAATCAATTTGTTAATGTGGAAAGTACCCTATAAATGTAACTTATATATTGGCCAAACACTAATCTATTCATCAATAATTTATATATGTCACATATTTGATTTATAACTCATGAAACATAGAAATGGGAAGTCCAAACACGTCAATGACAGAATTGTTGGGAAAAAAAAGGCCGGGGTTAGGGGGAGACTCAGAAAGAGATACTGAAAGTCTTTGGGGGGAAAAAAAAGAACAAAGTCAGAGAGAGCTGATACTAAGGACTCAGCTAAATAATATATCTGAGAGGGAGTGACAGAGGTACAAAACCTTATTCCTTAAAACAAAAAACAAATCAAAAGAGAAGAGAATATAGTATTACATATTTGATAAACACTACTTAACCAAAGATCAGGAAACTCCAAGCACTTTTTCTTCTAACTTGTTTTTCAACCCATTTTCTTTTGTATTTGATAATTTTATTTTTTCTCACTTTTTTCAAAATTCCTCCAAGTACATTATTGAATACTTCCCTAGTATTTCATGATGTGACACTATGATTGAAAAGGGACATTTCTCTTTTCAGTCTTTTACCATATTAAGCATGTTATTTACCTCTCTGGAGTTCATCATTAACCTGCAGTATGTAATATGTAAAGGCAAGAAAATTAAGTAGGGATTAAACAGGTTTTTATCCTCTATCCTTAAACTATGTAACAGAGCAAGGACAAGTTATAAGCTGAACTAGAATGTAGGTTTTTGTCTTATGAAATACAAACAGAATGGGTAATTTAATGTCTTTCATTACATCATTTGAAAATTATTGGGCCTTTATAATGAGGTTAGCATGGGTCACTGGAATATAATACATCATTTTCTCTTATCTGGGAAGTCTTCAATAAAGACTTTAATAAAATGGAATTACATATAACTATATCATATAGCATATATATAATTGATATACTATAATATATAGCTATAATTTATAAAATTTAAAACTATAAATTAATTATAAATTGATTTATAGATAATATATATATAAATATAGTATAAAACCACTGCATGCTAAAAATGGGAGAAATTCAAAACTAAGTATTCCTTTTAAAAAGACATAAACCAATGGTTTACATAACCATTTTCCTCATTACTATTAGATATTCGTATAGTAAAACTAAACTAAATTTTTTTTAGATTATTTCCCAGTATGCTTTATGAGAGTTGTATTTTAGAATCTTAGTATCTATTTTATATTTTTAACTTTAGAGAACACAATGATTGAACATTTAGCACTATATATCTCTATATAAATATATTCGAATAGGGTTAATTGAAAAACTTCACATAAAAACTCATCTTTCAAATCATAAAAATAATCAAGCTCAAGCCATCACAATTCACACTTTATGGGACTACTATGACATCTCTGAAACTGTATATTGCTATTCACAGGACTCTTTCTGTATCTCCTATATTGGGTCATTACAACATCACCAACTAATCAATTACAGTGATTACAAACATCAGCTACTCTATAACACACTGAACTACTTTCAATTTGACTATCAATAATTTTCCAATAGAATGATAAATTCCAAGATTAAAAAAAAATACTCCAGTTCTGAGATTCACAGTCTTCTACAGTGCAGAGAATTAAGTTTTTGTTCTAAAAGGAATTATCTTTAATTTACCTCCTAATTTGTTTATATCCATAGCAATTCAAAATGTAAATTTTTAAAATCTATAAAAAGAGAAAAAAGTTTCATTAAAATATAATGATATAAAATGCTAAGAACTAATGACTCAAAAGTACCTTGTCATTCTGCTTTTTCTCATATGCAAGTTTCTGAGGAGTAGGTGCTATTCCAGGTGTGAAATTGAGTTTTGAAACATGTCTGTTAGAAGGTAACTCCAATGAAAAAGATGGTGGAGTGAAACTGTAGTTCTCCATTTTGCTCAACTGAGGGTCAAGCATACTATATGAGTCCATGTTTTTTGACTATAGGAAAGAAGATAAAATCATTTACATAACCAAAATACATAAACTAGAGAAGAAAGTAAGTCAAAATAGTGAAATTAAAATATGTGAAAAGGGCAGCGGTTGCAAAAGAAAAAGTCCTAAAGCAAGGCAACCCATCAGTAATTGACAGAACTTTCTAGGACAAGAGTGGTTATCAGTGAAGATTATAATCAAAAGCACCTTTCCCTCTGCCTTCCCTACTCCTGCTCCTCTCCATCCTCAAGCTCCATTCCTGTAGGCTACCTTCTAAAGACAGGAACTCGAAGTTTCATTTATACACAATCCAGGTAACACGATTTCTAAGGGATTTTAGTATCATTGCCATTATCTTTCTCATCTAGTTTAACTCTGGCAATTCAAAGGGAAAAAACGACAGCTAACAATATTAGCTGCTAGACATTAGATGTTAAAGCCTCAAGCTTTAATTATAATCTATGCATTTTCTTTTCTTTTCTTTTCTTTTTTTTTGAGACGGAGTTTCGCTCTTGTTACCCAGGCTGGAGTGCGATGGCGCGATCTCGGCTTACGGCAACCTCCGCCTCCCGGGTTCAGGCAATTCTCCTATCTCAGCCTCCTGAGTAGCTGAGATTACAGGCATGCACCACCATGCCCAGCTAATTTTTTGTATTTTCAGTAGACCATGTTGACCAGGATTGGTCTCGATCTCTTGACCTCGTGATCCACCCACCTCGGCCTACCAAAGTGCTGGGATTACAGGCGTGAGCAATCTATGCATTTTTTAATTAAAATTTTCTTTGCTAAGAAAAGTATTTGCTATACTTGGAAAGAGAAATAATCTTGGGATCCAAGCGATGGTTGGACATCACAATTTGATATAAAGTAATCTAGTTACTATGTTTGAACAGATGAATTGCTCAATAATTATGTAAGCCCAAAGTAAGAATTCCTAAGAGAATTATCCTTGGCAGCTCATCAGTAACAAGCAGAATCTAATGTTATGCAAACATAGGTCTAGTCACATTACCAGCAGTCCAAAGGGATTCTTATAAGCAATCAATGAAAATATTCTTAAGGCATAGCTTTCCCAAGCTGGAAAAAGCTTTTAAAAGAATTAAAGACTCAAAATTTTCTGTAAAATAATTTTCTCCAAGTATTCAGACAGTTAGATCATTAGGTGGCATGTCACAATTGCTGAAATATCCTACAGAATTTTTTTTTGAATCTCACCTGAACTGAGTCAAGATCTTCCTTGCTACTTAGTCTTTGATAGTTTACACTAATGAAAAGAAAAATTTAAAGTTAAAAATATAAATGGAAATAAAATTGACCATCTCTTTATATATTTAAAATTCATACTGTCCTACACAAAACATATAAAAATCTAAATAAATCATTACAGGGTCATAATATTACTAAGTTTTATAAAAACTATATTAATACTAGAGATAGATCGACATTTTTATGATAAGGAAAGTCAAACTCTGTGTACAAAATCTGGATCATTTGATGAAGGTCTTAATAGTTGTATAATACTGTCAAAAGCCAAAGGAACAAAAGCTGGAGGTAGGAAGTAAGTACTTTATACATTTTCCAAGGAATAAAAGTATTGTTGATAACACCTAATAACATAACTCCTAGCTAAAACCTACTTGTTTTCTGTATCATCAAGACAGAGTTTAGAAGGTACACAGTGAGGTGACATTGGAAGTTCTAAATCACGCTTTTTCAGGGGCATTTTTATGTCTCTATTCATGTTCACATGGGTTGGTCTTCTTACAGTTTCTACAAAAAAGACATAATTTTAAAATAAGAAAAATAAAATCTTGTGAAAGTACTGTTTAATATATTATGTTCACCAAATAAATGTATACCTAAGAAATTTCACTAAAACATTTACATTCTACCAGTGCTAAAATAAGTCATTACAATATAAACAACTATCACAGAGATTTTAAAATATTTTTCATCATCTTATGTACTCCTCATTATAGGCACCCTATTAATTTAGTTCTACTTTTTCTTCCACCAAGACTTTTCTGACCTTCAGACTATATTAGACACTATGTTATATATTCCCACAGTATTACATCTTTTCTCTTTCTCTAGTCAGTACTTTTACCCACTCTATTTTTGTGATACACCCACCCCAACTATATACATAGTTATAGTGTAGATTTTATTTCTTATAAAATCCCTGCCTCAAGCCTGGCACAGTGGCTCACGCCTATATTCCCAGTTACCAAGGAAGCTGTAGTTGGAGGATTGATTGAGGCCAAGAGTTCAAGACCAGCTTGGACAACACAGTGCCACCCTGTCTTGAAAAACAAAACAAAACTCTGCCTCTCTGGATAAAATAATTGATTTGGCAGTAGCCATCCAACTGAAGATGAACCAATACTAGCATCCCATTCTGCTAGTTATAAGTGAAATTGTTTCACTATGAGATTGGTACCAGTAGCAGAAGGCAATATTCTTGCAGTGGAATTTTAAAATGTGGGACCAGAGAAACAATTTGCAGTCTTTCCCTGGTGGCAAAACTAGAGGAGATGAGTAATATTAGTTTCTTAAGGCCATGTGTTGAGCCTCAATGATGAAGACAGTCTGAGAGAATAAAGTTAATAACTGAAGTGAAAAAGAATCTTGGTAGTATTTAAGTCCCTGTTTCAAGTTGCCTCTGAGGCCCATTGCACCATCACTCTTCTTGTTAAAGGAGTAAAAAGATAACTGTTTTGAATTTCTGTCATTTGCAGCCATGAGTCCTGACTAATAAAGCTTGCTTCTGTTTTATCCTCAGCACCCAATAAAGTACTTGTCATAGGTGGCCAATAAAAATATGCTGAAGAAATAAATAAAAAGAAAGTGCAGTGGTTCACAACATTATCCCCAAATTAGGCATCTTGCCATTTAAGAGAACAGCAGAAGTAGGAAGGTTACTCTCAGCTTTTCCCTGAAGCAGACCATAAAACCCTCATTTGAGAGGTGCTCTGGTTATACTTGGAGGAAAATAAGATCCCTGGCTCTGAAAACACAAAGTCACAAAGAAGCATCTGAACAAAAAGGCCTTGCTAAAATCCCCTCAGGTTATTACTATTTGATCATTCTTATAAAAATCCAATCGTACTTCTTGAGGACTGTCCACTTTTCATTAAACCTGGCATGAAAAATACACAAGTTTAGTCATTTCTTCCAATCTTAAGATCTTAGCTTTCTTATCAAGGCTCTTATGTCACATAAAACTTACTAAATAAATCTGTATGTTTTTTCTCTTGTTAATCTGTCTTTTTTTATTGAGGCTTTAGCCATAAAGCTAGCAACAGATGAGAAAATGTATTTTTATTCTCCTACAACTGGAAATAAAGGTAAATACATCAAAAAGATTTAGAACAAAGTTTTATTCCCCAAGTCCGTGAACAATGTATTTATTCTTTCTAAAGTATAACTAAATTTACTTGTGCAACCTGTTATCCATGGAGGGAGAAAAAAATGGTGAAGAAAGGAAATGAGGACTATTAATAGGAAATACATGATCAATTTCTATACCTTCACGATAAATTGTCTTATTTTTATGCTCTCATTTTAGCGCTGGTTTTAAAAATTAAATATCAGACACAAGTTCCTCTAAGAGAGTAAAAATATACTCTAATTAAACTTTTTATTTACTTGAAGAATCAAAATGTAAGACAAAATGGACTTTATTTTGCAGTATTAGACTGCTATGATTAACATCCCAGGAACATGTAAGAAATAATTAAAGTTATGACATAGGAAACTAATCATTGAGGCAAAAATCTTTCCAGCTCTTCCTTTAATATCTGTCCTGTAAACAGTAAAGAATAATTTGTTGACATGTATTAACAATTATTCTCTGCTCTCTAGCTAAACTTTGGCAACTACAACTACCTGCCTGTATAGAATAATGTAACTATACTATAATAAGTTGAATGCCACCTAATACATTAATTTTATATAGCATATACAAAAACATGAAAATAAAAATAGATTAAGCAACAAAACATTTTAAGCAGATATTAACTAAGCATCTAATTTGAGAGCAACCAAATTTTAAAATTAACTTTCCACATACATTGAGCTCAAAAATTATAAACTAATTAGAAGGCTAAACATTATTATGATCACATCAAGTTCAAAACAGAATGTAATTGGAATGACTTACCAGGAATTTTCTTCTTGCAAGATATCTGATTTACCATGTAGAGGTTAAGAATGTCTAAGCTGACAGCAGAATTTTTGACAGGAGATAAAACTCCCAGTGATTTCATTTTTGATTTTAACCTGTGTTTTTCAAAATATTCCTAAAATAATTAAAAATTAAAAATAATGCAGCAACCATGTGTTGTTAGACAGAATTATAAATGATAAAAAAGCAATCATGTTAAGTCATGGACTTACTATTTTTACATTTTGTGACATCATCTTTATATGTTTATAAATTATAATTAATCATAACTTGCACTTTCTCTAAAGACTAAATTTCACAGCCTTTTATGATCTTAAGCATAACCTTTAAAACAGAATGCTATGAAGCTATTCTCTGAAATCAAAAGATTAAAAATTATCTGTATACAGAAAGTTTAAAAAAATCTCATAACAGAACAACAATTCTGACAGGCTAAAAACTTGTTTATCTATGAAGTATGCTACTCTGCAGCTATAGAAAACCTTAAAAATATGCACAGTTGAGTGCCATTAAAAGTCAACAGGAATGAAGAAAAAAAAGCTATGTGCAAATTAATCTGCAACCAAAGCCAATTTCATTTACTTTGTTATCCCTCCATGACTTCTAGATGTTTGGTTTTTTAGCCAGACTTGCACATAATTATCACTTTATCCAGTTTTCATTTTCTTTGTTTGAACTGTTATTATTCTTTCTTGCTGCCATTCTTTTTCTTTCAGATTATAACATTGATTCATTTAACAATTAACTAATATTTATTTATCAAGCAACTATTATGTGCTAGATATTAAGAAATTGTGAAAACCTCTTCCATTAGATAACTCATAAAATAATTATATAAATATAATTATAAATGTGAAATTATCAGAAATGAGAAAAGGCCAAGATGGCCACATATTTAGGGCAAGAGGTCATATTTCAAATGTTACATATTCTATTTATTTTTAAGAAGTTGAGACCCCTTCACATTAACATCTTAGAGTATTGTTAATTATAACTTTTAAGTTTATAAAAATCTTGAAAGAACTTTAAGAGACTTGTCAATAATCACACAAAAAAGTAAATGTCTTATTTTACAAAATAATATAGATAAAAGGTATTTGTTCATATATCATTTGAGTGATCTGGAACCCCAAATTAGACTAAAATATATTTTTAAAGAACACACCATGTTTCAGCAATGAAAAAACAGGATCTTCAGGATGTAAGTATCTTCCCCCTTGAAACAATAACTCAGTCAATGCTATATCTTACAATCTTGTCCTGAATTAAGAAGATGTTAGTTACTCTGTACAAAGTACAAAGGCACTGTACTTTGTGATGGATAAGACCATAGTGAGGAAGATGATGACACAAATAAATACAACTGAGTGTGATTGGGGATGGTATCAAATCCTAGGAAAGGTATGTAAATTATTGTTTGAGGGGCAGGGTGGGTAGCAGGAGGGGAGGAAGACATGGAAGATTTCTTAGGCAATGAGTTCTAAGATAGATGTAGATTCAGAGTTAGCCAAAGAGGGTAGGAGTATAAGGTTCCAGGAATAGGGAAGAACAATACAAAGATTGTCAAAGGGACTAAGCCTTTATTCCAGGAAACATGTTAAAGAAATTTGTCCCTGGCTGTGCACGGTGGCTCATGCCTATAATTCCAGCACTTTGGGAGGCCGAGTGGGTGGATCACGAGGTCAAGAGATCGAGACCATCCTGGTCAACAAGGTGAAACCCCGTCTCTACTAAAAATACAAAAATTAGCTGGGCATGGTGGTACGCGCCTGTAGTCCCAGCTACTCAGGAGGCTGAGGCAGGAGAATTGCTTGAACCCAGGAGGTGGAGGTTGCAGTGAGCCGAGATCATGCCATTGCACCCCAGTCTGGGTAACAACAACGAAACTCCGTCTCAAAAAAAAAAAGAAATTTGTCCCATATTCTGTAGCTATAATGATAGCCTCTAATCTCTGTTACAAGAAGGAAGTATGCTACTAACTGATTTACTTGACAAGACTGAGCTCAATTTTTTTTTTTTTTGGTCAAGTCTCACTTGGTAAAAACAACTAGAAAACAATTTGAAAAGAACTAGAAAACTTTCAGAAACTAATCAAATTTTAACCTGAAAACAGTCATTAAATAGGAACAACCAGAAAGACAGAAATAAAATGTGGAGAATGTACCAAAGAAAGAACAGAAAGAATCTGTTTCAAGATGAAAGGAATGGCAAGCTGTGTAGGATATGATGACATAATAAAATAAGCTGTACTGAAAAATATCCACTCAATTGAACAATATAAAGTTCATTGTTGACCTTAGCAAGATGACTGAGAAATGAATGGGATGCAGTATAAAAGGAGATAGCTGGGAAGGAAAAGGATCCAGAGATGGCCACTATCCTGCCATCCTGCTTTCATATCACTCTCTTGTTTTTCTTTAAATTTTATTACCTTTGATCACATTAACATTACTGTTTTTTTCTGTTTTAGAACTTTTGGTAAAAGGAATCTTACTGCTTATATTCTGTGAGTGTCTTCTTTTGCTCAACATTATGTATTTGAGATTCATCTGCATTAACCTGATATATTTTCACTGCTTTACTATTACTTGGATATGCCATGATTTGTTTAACCATTCTACTACTGTACTGCTAATGGATGTTGAGGTGGTTCTCTCCTCACCTTCCCACCCTTGCTTCTTTCTCCTTCTCTCCCCCTGCCATTTGCTATTTCAGCATAACAATGACCCAAACAAATCTTGTATGTATCCCAAAGTGCACATGTACAAGAGCTTCTTTGCTCAGTTGTAAGGTATATCCATGCTCAACCTTACTATGGAATGCAATAAGTGTAATAAAAAGTAAAGACAAAATAAATGGAAGTAGTATACAGGTTATGACACCACTGCTGTACTCTAGGTGATAAATGGTTATTTAAATTAGAATACCAATACTCAGGTAGTGAGAAGCAGTCAGATTTGTAATACATTTTGGAACTAGAAGGACAACAGGAATCAACAATGATCTTTAAGTCTTTGACTGAGCAAAATGAGTGGTCAATCAAGCTATCAGCAAGGATGTAGAAGATGAAAGGAAAATGGCCTCCAGTCTCAGTGAGGTGAATGTATTAGTGGTGGAAAAACACTTTAGGTTATTGTTCTCATAAGGCTAAAACAAATAAAAATATTTTTTCTTTACCTTTTGCTTTCTCCTTTCCTGCTTGATCAGAACCCTGGACCTAAAAAGGGAAGCAGAATAAAATATATAATGATTAAAGAAATGACCTTTAAGACAATTGCCAGTTTAGCTGAGTTGAAAATCTAAAGTTAAAATCTAAAAGTGTAGTATCATTGAATTTTTTTATAAGAAACTATAAAAATATTCTTAAAGTATTTATAGTATGATCTTTCACAAAATTTTCTTAGATAGGAAATCCAAGATCTAATTAAAATATTGCATGCCTATGATGAATAATTAAGTATAAAATAAATCTGAATTATAATGCCAAGCTAAGCAAAAATAAATAAATAATATATTGGAAAGAATAGATCCCTGAAATATTCTTATCTGATAGCAATATTCTTCTTTTTTCTTTATATTTAACATTCTACTGAAGTCAGCAGAGAATAGAGAGGAAGTTGAAATCTATTTGGGATCTAAGGAAATCTGAAGTTTATTGCTAGAGCAACATCAGTTCCATTAATATATCAGCTACATGTACTTGAAGTCTCCTATCTATGTCTTAGTCTGTTCTGGCTGCTATAACAAAATACCATAAAGTCAGGTAGCCTACCAGCAAGAGAAATTTATTCCTCACAGTGCTAGAGGCTGGGAAGTCCAAGATCAAGGCACTAGCAGATTCAATGCCTGGTGAGGGCCCACTTTCTTGTTTACAGATAACACTTTCTTGCTGTACCCTCATATGGTAAAAGGGGTAAGCTAGCTCTATGTAGCCTTTCACAAGGGTATCAGTCTGAATCATAAAGACATGGCCCTTGTGACCCAATCACCTTCCAGAGCCACCTCCTCCTGATACCATCACCTTGGGAGTTATGATTTTAACATAGGAAGTCCGGGGAAACACAAAACTTCAGACAATAGCATCTTCTTTAAAAAAAAAAACCTGGTCATTCTGGATGTGCTTCATGTCTATAATCCTTGGACCAAATAAAGCACTGAATACCAATGATAGTGCAGTATTTAATGGTTATAAAATCTTTGCTCTATTAATAACAGTGGGACACTATAAAATATTCATGACAATATTAGCAGATCTACATAACTTTTAGACATGCATAACACTGTGATCTCAAATTGAAGATTTATGTAAGAATAAGTAAAATGAGAGTGTGTCTTAACTATGTAATATCTAATATCAAAATAACAATCACTAATAATAAATACCATATATCTTTCACCATACTTCAGACACCTTACATGTATAAATTCACTTAATTCCACGGCAACTCCATAAGGTAGGTTCTATTTCTGTACCCACTTTACTGATAAGAAATCTAAGGCAGAGATAGGTTAAGTAACTTCCCGAAGGTCACGCTGCTTATAAGTGGTAGAAGTAGAATTCAAATCCAGGATGTCTAATACAGGAGTTCTTAGCCAAAATGCCTTATATTGCCTTTCAAGTATGTCAACTGAGAATATAAAGTTGTTCATTTTTTCCAATGATTTTCAGAAACTATACCAATGACAATTACTTAACACCCCAGACTTTGCTACTTATTGAATGTGTCTTTTTTCCAACAAAGCCAGTAATTTTAATTGAACAATAGGTAAAATGTATTTAAAATGGGAAATAAGTCAATTTTTAATATTTTTCTGTTCTACCCAGTTTTACCCTAAAGCCGCATGATTTTCTATCCCACAGCAAAAATAAACTGAACATAGATTGAACTTCATCAAAATTAAATGTTTGTCAAAGATGGCTCTTAATATTTTGAAGAAAGTTGCTTCAATGCCTAGTTTCTTGAGGATTTTTAACATGAAGAGAGGTTGAGTTTTCTTTTTAATTATATGTTAAGTTCTGGGGTACATGTGCACATCTTGTAGGATTGTTGCATACATACACACACACCATGTGGTTTGCTGTCTCCAACCCCATCACCTACATCAGGCATTCCTCCCAATGTTATTCCTCCCCAACCTCCCCACCCACCACCGTCCCTCCCCTAACTCCCTACCCACCAACAGACCCCAGTGTGTGATATTCCCGTCACTATGTTCGTGTGTTCTTATTGTTCAACACCTGCCTATGAATGAAAACATGTGGAGTCTGGTTTTCCGTCCTTGTGTCAGTTTGCTGAAAATGATGGTTTCCAGATTCATCCATGACCCTACAAAGGACATGAACTCATCATTTTTTATGGCTGCATAGTATTTCATGGTGTATATGTGCCACATTTTCTTTGTCCAGTCTATTATTGATGGGCATTTGGGTTGGTTGCAGGTCTTTGCTATTGTAAACAGTGCCACAGTGAATATACATGTGCATGTGTCCTTATAAAGAATGATTTATAATCCTTTGGGTATATACCCAGTAATGGGATTGCTTAGTCAAGTAGTTGAACTAATTTACACTCCCACCAACAGTGTAAAAGTGTTCCTATTTCTCCTCATCCTCTCCAGCATCTGTGGTCTCTAGATTTTTTAATGATCACCACTCTAACCGGCATGAGATGGTATCTTATTGTGGTTTGGTTTGCATTTCTCTAATGACCAGTGATGATGAGCAATTTTTCCTATGTTTCTCAGCCTCATAAATGTCTTCTTTTGCAAAGTGTCTGTTCATATCTTTGGCCCACTTTTGAATGGGTTTGTTTTCTTCTTGTAAATCTGCTTTAGTTCTTTGTAGATTCTGGAATTAGTCCTTTGTCAGATGGGTAGATTGAAAAAATTTTTTCCCATTCTGTTGGTTGCCAGTTCACTCTGATTGATGATTATTTCTTTTGCTGTGCAGAAACTCTTAAGTTTAATTTGATCCCATTTGTGTATTTTAAAATTACATTTTACAGATTCATTTGCTAAGACTGAGGAGGACCTGAGAAATTACTGTATTCTCCATCATTTTAAAACTTGCAAAGCTTATGCACAGAAAGCAATGTGACTTTTCAAAGTTCAAAAATATAAATAGTACAACAGAGCTGGCAATAATATTACACAATCCAGATTTAAAAAGGATAACAAAAATAAATGTTTATTGTATAAGCAGTTTCCATATCACAGAGTTCAGTAAAATTAGGAACAAATCAAAGTAAATATAGTCTTCATACCTGTATGCATTGTGTGTCTGATTTATTTATTTATTTTTTTTTGAGGCGGAGTTTCACTCTTGTTACCCAGGTTGGAGTGTAATGGCGCGATCTCGGCTCACTACAACCTCTGCCTCCTGGGTTCAAGCAATTCTCCTGCCTCAGCCTCCTGAGTAGCACTACCATGCCCAGTTAATTTTTTGTATTTTTAGTAGAGTTGGGGTTTCACCATGTTGACCAGGATGGTCTTGATCTCTTGACCTCGTGATCCATCCGCCTCGGCCTCACAAAGTGCTGGGATTACAGGCCTGAGCCACCGCGCCTGGCCTGATTTACTCTTATAGTAAATCAGCCATGATAGTACATTCATGGCTATCACCAAATTCTACATACTACTTAATGCCCATCACTATGTGCCTAAGAAAAAAACTAATTAGGAATTTATGACCAATATCTCCAACAGCCTAGCAATCAATAGACTGACGTGAAAAATGAAAAATGATTCTGACACATATGTCAAAGGTCATTTCTTAAACAGAACACTTTAGATTATCAAGGCTATCACTGTTATTAATAGAATCGTATGTCCACATAACTGAAATGTTTTCCTGAATATAGTCACTTTCAATTATTTGCACTAAAGAAGAAGAGTGCATCAATCAGAGTTCTTACTTACAAGCAATAGAAAGCATATTTGGCTGATTCAAAATAAAATAAGTTTATTAAAATAAAAATAGCCAAACAGACCTGCTGAGAAGGCATGCTTGTCAAATGACAAGAACAAAGAAGTCTAGGCAGTTTGGGGAAAATGGCCAAAATCATGCAACAATTAGTCTCATAAGGATACCACTGCTGACACTGGTGAATACTAGATAATACTTCCACTCCTGGACAACACTTCCCCTGGCATCCCTGTCCCGGAAAATTGAATCCTGTTGCAGCTCCTGCAACTGCCTACTACTAAAACAGATGCACTGCAGTTCCTATTTTCTTGAATCACTAACTCCTAATCTAAAGTACAAGGCAAGAGCACCCAAATTGAGCTTAGATCATGTACCCATTCACTAGCTGCAAAATAGACTGGGAAGTAAGTATCTAGGCTTGTTTGTTTTTTCAGCTTCTGTAGAGGAAGGTGGCCTATACCTATCACCAAAACTCCTATAGTGGTAGACAGATATACCACAGGTAAACAGGGGCCTCAGATACTGGTTTGCCAAAGAACACAAATGTCTACTACACAGCTACACTAAAAAAAATAGGTAATGATCCAAAAGTCATTTTTATTTGGCTACGTCAGGATATATGTATTCCTTAATAGTTGCTTCTTGTGGTTTGTTTAGGCTAATATAAAAATAAGGCAACAGTGATGAGAGACTATGTTCCCTAAATAGTAGGGGAAACAAGCTAGAACTTTATATATGACAAAAATAAATAATAATGAAAAGGACTTGCCAATGATTCCCTAGTAGTTATTGCTAAAGGGATTCCACATTGACGACTGCAGTATTATATATGTAGACAACTACCATAATTACATTGTAAAGGGTCTCTTTGATTTTATGCAAATGTTCTCCAATACATTTTACTACATAAGTAATTGCTTTATAACACAGCTCTGATTATAATTTAGAGATATGACTTCCACAGCATGCCCCTACTTAGCTTTCAACTTTGTTTTACATTCTTTGACTTATGTACTATGACATTCAACCAGACTAAAATATATGTTTCCCTAATTTTTGTCTGGAAATTTAAATTTCTAGAGAATGGAGAGTGAGATAGACAGTGAAAATGAGATTTTTTTTTTAACAGTAATTACTGTGCTATTCTGGAAAATGAATTTTTAAAGAAATGTGTACAATCATCTCTTTCAATGAAAGTATGAATGAACAACATTAGTTGTCATTATAATAGGTATTGATCCAAAATCATTTTGTACTTCAAAGAAAATTGTAGGTCATAACCTCCTCATAGA